TATAGAAGAAAGGGAATTTTTGGTTACAACTTTTTATAAAACTAAATATATATGCATCTTTTAAACATTGTAAAACAGGATAAAAGGCCTGTCTTATAAACATAATACATGTAAAAATTAAGGCATGCCTTTACTACTTATAGTAGAGCTAGTTCAGATTCACTTTGTTTTGTGGCTGTAAATTAAGCTCTAAGTGCTGTCAAAATGTTGCCATCTGCTCAAGACTTAATTGCATTATCGACAAACATAGATGGAGCACAGAAGCTGCTCAAGATATCCTTTGTACCCTAAAACAGATATGACTGAATGAAGCATCGCACACATCAGTCAACCATTCTGAGTTTCCCATCATTAGCTAAACATACTGCAAGAGATATTACAACTTCCTGCTTGAGTATTGATCATGTTTTATTAACTGAAGAATGACCTATCACAAATATACATTCTAATAAAGTAATGTGAGTGAAAGCGCGTGTGCACTCAGGAAAATGGCACATTACTTATAATTATAAGAAAAAATGCTATGTGCACCAAAACCCCACAATAAAAAAAGGGATACAATTACTTTGATAGAAGAAAACAAATAAAGGCAATCAAATGTAGGGCATAAAATATATCTGCTTAAGGAAAAGGTCAATCAATTCATATGCAAAAAGATACATATCAAACTGAAGCCTTCATTTTTGTCTTTATCTAACAGAAAATGGGAGACAGATTTCTATTTCTTATTTTAATTTTTTTATCCAGGCCCTCTGAATCCAGGTATTTAGGAAATTCCTTGTTTAATATGATGACACATGCTGTAAGTATAGTACACACCTCAGACCTGACAGCGTTCTTTGGTTGGTGTGAATTTTCACAAAGGATGAACAAACGGCTTCAGGATGCAACCAGTTCACATAAGAGAGGAAAATTTGAATGTTCTTTCTAACACAATATCTGACACCTGAAATGACAGGGGAATTAAATTTTCTCAGAATATATGATTGAGTAAGAAAAAAAAATAATATCTTTTATATCTTTATTTGATCATATAGGAATATGCATGGTGTTGTTAGAGGAACCACTGCTATTTAGATGACAATAGTGTAACAATGCCAGTGAGATTACTAATCATTAGATGCTAATTATGTTATTGAGAGTAATTATAGTGCATTCACATACACATATAGACGGATACTTATTAATCTGAATACATGAGGCAACATACCACCTTGCATTTGACAGATAAATTGCTTTGCAGATAATTCTGGGAAGAAAATAGAGGAAAAAGGAGGAGTTGATGGCATGAACGGATGCCATGTAAAGAAAATGAATAAAAGGTGAAAGGTAATATAAAGAGTACACATACTAGAATAAGAAAGCCTCCCTTCTATGCAGGACCGTGGGGGCCCGTCACCATGCCCTATGAGGACTAGATGCAAACGGCATCTAGTCCTCAGCGTGGGTCATTTTCTTATTTCATCCAGGTTGAAGGAAAGGGTATCAGGCAATGCTATGAGTCATGCTAAGACATTGAAATCATAATAGGTAATTAACAGTGGAAAACAATTCTACATAAATTATCATATAAACAAGAGATATTTTAATTTCAGTTTCTATTTTAGTTTGTTGTAATTTAGACTCATCAAATCAAAGTCAACAGCCATATAAAGAGAGTTTCCTGCATATTTAAACCAAAAAAATATTTCATTAGCTGCAGGTGAAAACTATAATTTTATGAAGTAAAGAAAGAACACCAATATAATGTTATCTGAAAATATTTGATAGGAAAAATTTTGCATTTTGATCTAATGAATTAAAAAAGAATAACCCATAGACGTTTAGTGTAATGTCACCAGAATTAGTAAGATGAACCTTAAAGAATGTGTCACCATCTTCAAGCAGTTCAAAGAATTTCTCCTAATTCAGATAATGTTGTGTTTACCAATAATATGAGAATACAGTGAGAAAAATACATATAAATAAAATATATCTCAAGCCAAAGCAGTTAATTTAAATGATTGCACGTATTAAAAGTTTGGAAGTAATTAAGTTTATGCTATATCCAATTAGAAGATTTTATTTATTTTATTTTATTTGGAGATTTAAATTGCACTAGTGGCTCATTTTTATGGACAGTAGGCTGATAGGAAAGGGGGTATGTGAGAGGGGGAGAGACATGCGGGAAAGGACCACAGGCCAGATTCAAACCTGGGTCACCTGCGTCGAGGACTAAGGCCGTATCCGCTAACCACTGAGCCACCAAAGCACGCCCCCAATTACTAGATTTTATGTGAATCTGTAATAAGTCACGGGTTAGGGTTAAGCAGGTGTACGAGCTCCTTTTGGGCTGGGATGTCATTCTATGAGACTGACTGTAGACTTGCACTTTTGAAACAAATAAGTTTTGCAAAACAAAAATCTAAAAGCTGAAAACCAGGTCAGGGATAAAGTTGTGTACAAGTTTACAGGACAATAGCACTGTAAAACAATCTCCCAAGCTTCAAATATTATAGATTTATTGATCGTTGGAACAGAGAACAAGTATGGGAAAACATTAAAACTACAGGGAATGGTAATCTAGCTAAACTCACAAGCCAGGCAGGAAGTTGTTTGCAGACAACATAGCAGCAGTGGGACACATAATAAACTGTGATTACTCCAAATAAAGAGAGGAGGTTGAACAATAGGTACCATGGTGCAGAGACAAAACCCTCTGCATCAATGTGAATTGTTTACAGGAAGTGCTCGTTGTGGTAAGAGCATGTTTTGGAAAATGGACTGCATACATTATATTACATTATATATATAGCCAAGGCCATGGTTCTCCACCGGAGAAAGGTGGACTAACCTCTTCAGTTCGGTGGAGAGTCCTTGTCTTAAGTGGAGGAGTTCAAAGTTTCGGGGTATTTTTATGGAGTGAGAGATGGATGGAGCGTGAGATTGATAGAGGAATCGGTTCAGCGTTGGCAGTGATGCGGTCGCTGTATAGGACTGTCGTGGTGAAGAGGGAGCTAAGTCGGGGGGGCAAAGCTTTCGATTTATCGATCGATCTACGTTCCCACCCTCACTTATGGTCATGAGATCTGTGTAATGACCGAAAGGACAAGATTGCGAATACAAGCGGCTGAAATTAGTTTCCTTCAGAGGGTGGCTGTGCCTTCGAGTTCGGCTGAGAAGCTCTGTTACCCAGGAGGAGCTTGGAGTAGAATCGTTGCTCCTACACGTCGAAAGGACCCAGCTGAGGTGGCTCGGGCATCTGTTTTAGATGCATCCTGGTCGCCTCTCTCGGGAGGTGTTCCAGGCATGTCCCATTGGGAGGAGGCCTCGTGGAAGGCTCAGGACACGCTGGAGGGACTATGTCCCTGAGCTGGTCTATTGTGGCCACGGGGTCCCCCCCACGCAGCTGGAAGAAGTGTGTGTGGATCGGCCCCCGATAAGCGGAAGAAAATGGATGGATGGATGGATGGATGGATGGATGGATGGATGGATGGATGGATGGATGGATGGATGGATGGATGGATGGATGGATGGATGGATGGATGGATGGATGGATGGATGGATGGATGGATGGATGGATGGCATACATGCATTATATGCTGTTATCTCATTTGCAATGGGATGCGTAGTGTTCTTTTTTAATGTAGTCTAGTAAAATAAATTAGTAATTAAATAGGAAATTCGGGGCAATATGAAAGGAGTGGGGTGTTACATTCACAGCTGGGAAACAGTGCGATAATTTAATAGCCAGTTAAATAAAACAATACACATGTATCGGTCACATCATTAAATCAAATGCTGTGTATCCCAGTGCCCTGGCATAATTATATGAAGGAAAAATGACAGAAAATGACATCTCCTGAAAATTTGAGCGAGCGTGTAGTGATTTCACCGGAGCGGCAGTGGCAACGAACATCCTCCTGAGCGGGGAGTGGGAACTGTGTGGTGCTCCGCTCCATTCACATTCTCTGCTCGGGAGCTCAGTCCTGATGAACTTTTATTGCTGTGTGGTAAAGATAGATCTTTGCACCTGTATCACCGGGTTGCACAGCAACAATACAGCTGTTGTGAGGATGGCTCTGTAGAGGGTGGTTAGAGCTGCAGAGAGGATTGAAGGGGGTACCCTTACATCCATCTGGGATTTCTACCCATCAAATTGCAGGGGGAGGGTACTCTGCCTCATGAAGGACTCCACCTAACCTGCACACAGAGTGTTCCAGCCTCTCCCCTCCTGCAGACGGCTGAGGAGCATCCACAGCAAAACCTCCAAGCTCAGAAACCCTTTCTACTATGTAGCTGTTGGACTGCTGAACTCAAGCTGCACTTGATTCAGCTTCATCCCTTTCTCTAGTTTTCTTAAATATTATAATTATTATACTGGAAGATGATTCAAAATTTCTCACAAAAAAACCCATAAAAATGTGAGATGGTATGGCAATAAAAGAATCCTTGAAATCTCAAAAAAGAAAATACACCCAAATAGCATCCACGAGTATGAAGCAGCAGTAGATTTTCAAGGCTAAAATTGAATAATTTGTAAATAGGAATCATAGGCTTCATAAATCTAGTATTTGTGGCAGAAGGACAAATGAAAGTCACTGTACAAAAACAAAAAACAAAAAGAACCCTTAGAAGGTTTTCCTATAGAGTCCATAAAAGGGACACAGCTATTGATGTAGGTATTGCCGCCAGAAAAAAACAAAACAAAAAAAAAAAAATAGATAAACTGAAGAGGATGAAGATACCAGTTTGGGCCTCCAAAATATGTCATTGTTAACAGTAGTACATCACGTTTTAAGCTAAATTACACTCATAATAGTATTTTTGTGATATAGCTATATGAACTTTGATTTATAGAAAAAAGTTAAATGATAATTCGCAGTCATCATCGGTGTCAGACATACAATAACCACACAATTACACAGACTGATGGACACAGACAAATCATGAAAATGGAACACAGTGAACTTTATTCATAAGAGGACATGCCAGTTTGAAAATAACATCAAATATCTTACCTGGGGCTAAAGGAGCTTCTTCGGCCTGAGCCAGCAGAACCATCATTAAGATGGGGGTGGTCCCCAACCAAGCGCCACGCATTACGGTGCTCACTATGCTGGCATCACTTTGTGTAAAACTAGGAAATAAAAAACAAGAAAATTGTTAAGGAATTGGTTGGGAAAATCTTTACAGTTTCCTAAAGTTTTATATAATATTTAATTAATTCAACACCACATACATTCACTCACCATTTCTAAAAAATGCAGGATTAATTAATCATGGCATAGTTAGAATTCATTCAGACTATATTGCTTTATATTATAGAAACTGGATAAGGCTAAGGCTTTGTTCAAACAGCAAGTTTTGATGCTCAGTCCTGATTTTTTCCCCAAATCAGACCTTTTTAGCAGGGTCGCTTAAAATCTTACAATTACTTGTGCGATGGTACGATCTGAAGGGTTGAGGTGTTAGAAGCAAAAAGCAGCGGGAAAATGTAGATGACACACAGTTGCACAATGTTTATAGATTAAATGAAGGATGTCACTATCAGTGGAACTGATAAATAAAGCTTTGAAAAAAAAACAAGCCAACACTTGGAGAGCACAGTAAATTTTGCCCAAAATAGTAACTCACACCTACAGAGAATATAATCTTGATCATTGACAAATTTAAAATAACTGTTCAATGACATGAGGCGCACCTCAGATAAATTTTTTTCCATAAAATCCGTTTCTAAGATTTTAATTGATCCTGCTAACAAACCAACAATGTTCCATTTTCTTGTGTTTTTGTTTTCATATAAAGACCTTGAGACCTTTCGAGCCCGATGCTGAGGCTGTCAATAGTCACTGCTACCACCCACTAGTTTAGTGGAGAACTGCTTGTTCCATCCAATATCCCTATCTCACAATGTTAGAGCACCTTTAAAAAATATTGTATCCTGATTATGATTTGGACCATCACCATATTAATAGATTGGCATGAGGGACATCTCAGATAAATCTTTCACTAAAATCCGGCCATAACTTTTCATATTATCTTGTACACAGAGACACAGACACACAAACTCTCCTAAAAACGAAAAAAAAAAAAAAGTATCTATTGATCTCACATTGGAGAAATGCACCTCAGCATTTAACCCATCCCTTTGGGGAACAGTGGGCTGTCATCGTGGGGCCCCAGGGAGCAATCGGGGGTTAAGGGTCTTGCTCAGAGAGCCAGAGTGACAGTCTGTGGGAATGGGTTTTGAACTCCCAACCTCAGGATTCTAAGCTCTATGTCCTAACCAGAGGCGGCCACTCCCCAAACATAACCTCCTTGGCAGAGGTAAAAAGTATAATAGCAGATTCTAGCGTCTTACTTTTAATCTCTTGAATGATGGGATCTGACAGTATCATGGGAAGGTATGAAAAACAGGGCCCAGCTGTTAACAACCACCACTTAATAAGTAATCAGCGATGCTGCTGCTGTAAAGAAGTTGGTGTGAATGGATGTGAAAAGATCTGACATGACATGAAAAAGTCAGACATGACTTACAGAAAAGATTGGATTTAGTTCAGATGTTCCTGCTGTGTTGACGTTTGAAATAGCTGCAGTAAGTATTCCTTTTTTTTTCTTCAAGGAAGCATTTATACATGACTTTTTGATGAGTTTACTGATACTTGAATTACAGAGAATATGTGTGAGGTTGTATTTGTCGGTGAAAGTATATATTTTATAGATAGCGAGTTCTAAGTCATCCAACATTCCTAACTTATTAATGTTATTAAAACTGTCTGAGTTTTTATGGCTAAAAGTGGTCTTGACACATATTTCAGCCATTGGTGACTCTTACAATCCTTTACTCATACAAAGTTGTTCTGCATGTAAAAGCCTTTTATATTAATCATTGAGTGGAATTCACTGGAATAAAGAGGAGATTCAAACCAAAACTGAGACTATTTCATGACACCAAAAGAAAAAAAACAAGTTGAAATGCAATGATAGAAAAAATGCAAACCTGACTGACAGTGAAATAAAGTATATTTTTTAAAAGTCCCATAACTACAGAGTTAGGACATGCACATATCATATGTTAACAATATTCAAGTTACATCAACTCTTTAGAAATAATTAATACAGGTTTTTCTTTTTTAGTCGGGCCATAGGTATCAGCATTTATGGACATCTTTCACTTATATCGCTACAATGAAATAATTAGGTTGAATATTTCTGTCTTAACTATATTTCTTTTATTTGTTTGGCTAAGCTCAATTTCTTCCAAAATACACATCATCTGCTTTGATAGAAATAGGCCTGCTACTCCACCAGACAGATTGAAGCATTAGACAAGTGCACACAACAAATGCCTCTTAAACCGATATCAGACAAGAGAGACAAAAGCCTTAGAGTTCAGTAGTGTGTGTAAGACAGAGACACCATGCCGTCATCACCTGCACACAGTGAAAGAGACCGTCTGTAGCGGAGAAATAAATAGGAGGATTCTCTGGATCACCCATCTGTGGAGCAACCTGTTCACCTGTTTGATTACATCTAGAAGGCCCAACAGCCCCGGCACCTATATGTCTAGCATTTTCATTCTTTTCAGACTCCCCCTCAAACACAACTGTGGAATGTGATTTTCTTCTTTGCAGCATTTTCCTGAGGCATGACACACTGCTACAATTGGCTATGCTTCACCTCAAATAAGATGGACTTTTTTTGTTGTGAATTCCAAGGCAGCAAAACAATGACTGTCTACATTAGTCTTCCATCGAGACAGATGAAGAACAGTTAATATGGTTCCTTCAGAGCTAAAAGACCAACACATGCAGTGATTAAATGAAATAAAGGATTATTTGGCAGCAGAGCTGGTTCTTATCACAGGCTACATTGTCATGTGTCTGACATCGACTGTAGGGGGGCACTGCTGAATCAATTACAGGTGAAAAAGAAATCCAGATTGGAATAAATAACAGGAACAATGTGCTAACTGTTGCCCTTTATGCTCCGTGTTGAAATATAAACAACCTGATCGTCTGTGTTTTCCCACCTTGTGATGGATCTCCCTTTCCTCTGCCATCAATCAAATATGCATAAATGAGAGGAAATGAGGGGTCATGAATTTTTTAATATAACTGTTTCATGTAATTTCAGTGTGTTTTCTAGTAGTTTTTCTGTGTTTGTTTCCTCCACTTTCTCTTGCATCTCTGCTGTCCCTCTTCTGACCAAATATGTAGATGCTTGATGTGAACAATTGGACTATTTGAGGTGCAACAATCAATGTACATTAAAAACACATAGTTTTAGAATTATTACGAGTTCAGATATATAAAATCACATTGATTATATTTGTTTTATTTTTTTATGATAATGATAATAATTAATAATAATATATTTGATTTATCAGATCTTTCAATAAAACAAAAATACTTTGCAAGGTTATAGAAAGCTTTATATGGCGCAGGAGGAGCTTAAAGTCAATCTCTGGCTTTATGGAGCCAGTGAAGGTGTTTTAGGTGGGGTGTTGTACAGTTCTTTAAAATGTAACTTATACTTTGACTTTTAAAGAGGTCACTTATGTCTCTTTTTTTCAGACATTCTGGCTGCAAGTCTAATAACCAAACACATACACTTACATTACACCAATTCATAACAACCCTTCTAGATTACATGACCCAAGAGAAAAAAATGTCTTTTACAGATCCACGTTTCTCTCTAAGACCGTAACCCCTGGACTGTTTAAGATATCTAAAAACTTCAAAAAGTACCAGAAAGCAGAGATAAAGGCTTGAGACCCTACAGTTTTAATTACAGTATCGCGTAGGACTTCAGCAGTGCAGTGACCATTCAATAAAAGACCCTATTCAGGGGCGCATCAGGTATTTGTAAAATGAGCTTCAGTTTGTGCAGCAGTTTTCCGCTTGGCCCTAGTGCTCGACAAGTGTCGGTTTACCATAGCATAAAATTGTTTTTTAACAGTAAAATGTACACGGGATCAAAACCGACTTTTGTTTTCTTCATGCTGTTGTTTCTTTGTGTTTTGATTCTTAGTATATTCTTGTTTTTTCTTTTCTTCATACTTTTTACTTTTTTACTTTAAATCTCTGCTTTCCTGTCATTTTCCTGTGTTTTTCTTCTTTTTTTAATTCACAGTTGAACTCCATTTTTGGTAATTATTTCTCTCCCCTATGTATCCCTGCTTTCCTTGGTTGCTCTAAATTCTTCCTTCATTAACTCAAAAGCATCCAATAGCTATGTTTACATTCACAAAATCTCCAAAAAAGATTAAAATGTATTCAGATTGAAAAACAAAAAATAATCAGACTGTAAAAGTTTACATGGACATAAGTAATCAGAAATAAAATGAGTGATCAAAATAAAAAAGTGGCATGAAAATTAGAATGCAATTTGAAAGAATGAAAATTCTGATAACATTTGGCGAGAGCAACTAGCCACTTTAGAAATACATCACGTTGCCACGGGGTGCACACAAGTACCCAGGTAAGTTTGCCTCCATCACAATTAGTTCATTGTGTTAAGCATTTACATGCATGGCAATCAGATTGTCAGTCAACATAAATCAAACCTCTCAGTTGGATTACAGTGTCTTTTTTTTCCAAATTTGATCAGAATTTTTTGAGTCATCTATCCATGTAAACATAGCTGTCATCCCTCCTTTCTCCAAACAAAATATAAGCTCCCTGGCTCTTGTGTTTCACAGCTGGATTCTTCTATTGCACCCTTGCCAAAGCATAATCTCTTGTACCTTTCTGTGAGTTTTTCTTTGGGTATTATTAAACCATGATATTCATACATATAAATTGTTTTCTAAAAACCAAAACATTTATAATTTTCCCTTTTAATTCATGGGACCTTAAGAGTGAACAAGATGTAATATATGTCACTTAATGAGTCACAAAGATAACACCATATTCCATTATTATTATTAATTGAAGGGTGTTCTCTTTTACTTTCTATATATATCTCAGGACATTGTGGTGGTGGACAAAAAGCAGAGGAAAGCCATTGTGGTTGACATAGCAATACCGAGTGACTGCAACATCAGGAAGAGAGAACATGAAAAACTAGAGAAATACCAGGGGCTCAGAGAAGAGCTGGATAAAAAACCTGGAAAGTCAAGGCATCAGTGGTACC